AAAAGACACCTGTCCACAGAAGCAATCAATCAATCAGATTCCAAACTCTCCACCATGGCCAAGACCAAAGAGCTCTCCAAGGATGTCAGGGACAAGATTGTAGACCTACACAAGGCTGGAATGGGCTACAAGACCACCGCCAAGCAGCTTGGTGAGAAGGTGACAACAGTTGGAGCGATTATTCGCAAATGGAAAAAACACAAAATAACAGTCAATCTCCCTCGGCCTGGGGCTCCATGCAAGATCTCACCTCGTGGAGTTGCAATGACATTGAGAACGGTGAGGAATCAGCCCAGAACTACACGGGAGGATCTTGTCAATGATCTCAAGGCAGCTGGGACCATAGTCACCAAGAAAACAATTGGTAACACACTACGCCGTGAAGGACTGAAATCCTGCAGCGCCCGCAAGGTCCCCCTGCTCAAGAAAGCACATATACAGGCCTGTCTGAAGTTTGCCAATGAACATCTGAATGATTCAGAGGAGAACTGGGTGAAAGTGTTGTGGTCAGATGAGACCAAAATCGAGCTCTTTGGCATCAACTCAACTCGCCGTGTTTGGAGGAGTAGGAATGCTGCCTATGACCCCAAGAACACCATCCCCACCGTCAAATATGGAGGTGGAAACATTATGCTAAGGGGGTGTTTTTCTGCTAAGGGGACAGGACAACTTCACCGCATCAAAGGGACGATGGACGGGGCCATGGACCGTCAAATCTTGGGTGAGAACCTCCTTCCCTCAGCCAGGGCATTGAAAATGGGTCGTGGATGGGTATTCTAGCATGACAATGACCCAAAACACACGGCCAAGGCAACAAAGGAGTGGCTCAAGAAGAAGCACATTAAGGTCCTGGAGTGGCCTAGCCAGTCTCCAGACCTTAATCCCATAGAAAATCTGTGGAGGGAGCTGAAGGTTCGAGTTGCCAAACGTCAGCCTCGAAACCTTAATGACTTGGAGAAGATCTGCAAAGAGGAGTGGGACAAAATCCCTCCTGAGATGTGTGCAAACCTGGTGGCCAACTACAAGAAACGTCTGACCTCTGTGATTGCCAATAAGGGTTTTGCCACCAAGTACTAAGTCATGTTTTGCAGAGGGGTCAAATACTTATTTCCCTCATTAAAATGCAAATCAATTTATAACATTTTTGACATGCGTTTTTCTGGATTTTTTTGTTGTTATTCTGTCTCTCACTGTTCAAATAAACCTACCATTAAAATGATAGACTGATCATGTCTTTGTCAGTGGGCAAACGTACAAAATCAGCAGGGGATAAAACACTTTTTTCCCTCACTGTAACATGTAATAATCATCAGTCCGTCAATTTTTCAGTCAGTCGGTCAATCAGTCAGTCATAATTGGTATTGTGGAGTGATTGATGGAGTGTTTGTGTCGTTGTGTTGGGGGAGGGGTAGGGGTGGGGTCTGAGCTGGTAGTTGCTGGATGAAGGTGGCAGTTGTGGTTGGTGGGAGTTGTGTCCAGGGTTGGTGCTGGTGTTGGGGCTGGGACAGGGAAAACCTGTGTTGGTGTTGGGGCCGGGTTGGAGATGTTGATGTCCTTCCATCTTGCCAGCCCCCATACCTCCTTTGCCTGGTCCGGGTCTTTATGGAAATCTGCGATGGCGTGATCCCTGAGAAGGATGGTGATCCTCCTCCCCAGGGTTGTTCGTTCCACGGTTTGTTGGTGGTAGACCCTGATGTTCCTTGTCTGCCGCAGGACCTGCTTGACGTTGCCGATTATCCTCCACTTCTGGCAGAGCTGGATGGTGCTACAGCCACCAGGAGGACCGTTCAGTACGTTATCCGCCCTCAAGCGAGGTAGGGTCAGCAACCCCCCCCCCCCCCCCCCCCCCATAGGTTTCAGGAGGTCTGGTTGATATGGCCCAAATGTCGACGTCTATAATTGTTTCAGATTTGGTCCGGTCAGGACTAACCTTGATTTGGCGCAAAAAAACATGTCTATGATTGGTTCAGATTTGGTCCAGGTTTGGACAGCACAGTACAGTAGAGCACAGCAGACTACAGTACAGTTAAGTATAGTAAAGAAAATAAAAGTATAATATAATATAGTTCGGTACAGCAGAACTACAGTAGAATGCAGTACAATTGAGCGCAGTAGAGTACAGTTTGATGTTCTGTATTGTGCTGTACCTTACAGTACTTTACTGAACTAAACTTTACTGTACTCTGCTGTACTGTTCTGTGCTGTCCAAACTTCTATAATTGGTTTAGAGTTGGTCCGGTCCGGACCGACCAAATGTGGTCTTGTTTGCGGGCATAGCTCGTTAGAATAATAAGCAGCATGCTTTGCAAGTGTTAATTTTACATTTCAATTCTGGCTATTTAGCAGACACTCTTATCCAGTGCAACTTCTGTCGTGGAAAATTACTAAATTAGACATACTATGCTGTTTTTAGTTAGAGAATTGTCCATTGTTACAGTGAGGGAAAAAAGTATTTGATCCCCGGCTGATTTTGTACGTTTGCCCACTGACAAAGACATGATCAGTCTATCATTTTAATGGTAGGTTTATTTGAACAGTGAGAGACAGAATTACAACAAAAAAATCCAGAAAAACGCATGTCAAAAATGTTATAAATTGATTTGCATTTTAATGAGGGAAATAAGTTTTGACCCCTCTGCAAAACATGACTTAGTACTTGGTGGCAAAACCCTTGTTGGCAATCACAGAGGTCAGACGTTTCTTGTAGTTGGCCACCAGGTTTGCACACATCTCAGGAGGGATTTTGTTCCACTCCTCTTTGCAGATCTTCTCCAAGTCATGAAGGTTTCGAGGCTGACGTTTGGCAACTCGAACCTTCAGCTCCCTCCACAGATTTTCTATGGGATTAAGGTCTGGAGACTGGCTAGGCCACTCCAGGACCTTAATGTGCTTCTTCTTGAGCCAAAAACACCCCAAAGCATAATGTTTCCACCTCCATGTTTGACAGTGGGGATGGTGAACTTGGGGTCATAGGCAGCATTCCTCCTTCTCCAAACACGGCGAGTTGAGTTGATGCCAAAGAGCTCGATTTTGGTTTCATCTGACCACAACACTTTCACCCAGTTCTCCTCTGAATCATTCAGATGTTCATTGGCAAACTTCAGACGGCCCTGTATATGTGCTTTCTTGAGCAGGGGGACCTTGCGGGTGCTGCATGATTTCAGTCCTTCACGGCGTAGTGTGTTACCAATTGTTTTCTTGGTGACTATGGTCCCAGCTGCCTTGAGATCATTGACAAGATCCTCCCGTGTAGTTCTGGGCTGATTCCTCACCGTTCTCATGATCATTGCAACTCCACGAGGTGAGATCTTGCATGGAGCCCCAGGCCGAGGGAGATTGACAGTTATTTTGTGTTTCTTCCATTTGCGAATAATCGCACCAACTGTTGTCACCTTCTCACCAAGCTGCTTAGCGATGGTCTTGTAGCCCATTCCAGCCTTGTGTAGGTCTACAATCTTGTCCCTGACATCCTTAGAGAGCTCTTTGGTCTTGGCCATGGTGGAGAGTTTGGAATCTGATTGATTGATTGCTTCTGTGGACAGGTGTCTTTTATACAGGTAACAAGCTGAGATTAGGAGCACTCCCTTTAAGAGTGTGCTCCTAATCTCAGCTCGTTACCTGTATAAAAGACACCTGGGAGCCAGAAATCTTTCTGATTGAGAGGGCGTCAAATACTTATTGCCCTCATTAAAATGCAAATCAATTTATAAAAATGTTGACATGCGTTTTTCTGGATTTTTTTGTTGTTATTCTGTCTCTCACTGTTCAAATAAACCTACCATTACAATTATAGACTGATCATTTCTTTGTCAGTGGGCAAATGTACAAAATCAGCAGGGGATCAAATACTTTTTTCCCTCACTGTATGCTAGTGTTTTTGTCCCCATGATGCAGTCTTGTTGTCTTGTGTGACTTAGTTCTAAGTCTGGGCGTACAAATAAGAGCTGGATGCGACCGCAGAATATGATATCCTGATTGTACTATCTGTTGGAGCTCCTCTGTATGGTAACTTGCAGGAAGCAACAGACAACGGTGGCAACATCAGATATCTTAATCTACAGTACAGTTCAGTCTATGTTCCCCACCCCTGTTTGCACACGTCTGCCAACTGCTACATAGATAAAGAAGTTGGACTTTTCTATAAAAGCTGAGAGCCAACTCTGTTCATGGAGCTTTCAACTCTGACTATTCTTAGTGATGGTTGATTGCTTCATTTTTGCTAATCTTATAATAAAATTGTTGTTTGAAAGAATCTGCGGTCTCTCTTCCTATAGAATTTCTCTGACACTTCGAATCGGTGCATTATCCTAAGGTAGATAAACAACCACATATCACAGTCAAAGCAAGAAAACATTGAACATGATCACTGCCTGTTTAAAGCTTTGGAAAAAGCTAACATAAGTGCATTTGACAGATGGGAGCAGTCCTCGCGCAGCAGTCCCTCCCAGCTGCAGTCAGAGCAGGAGATGTTCACCCCTCCATGTCCAGACTGCAAATGAATCGCGCATGCGGGAAGCCGCCGCTGGCTGATCCTGCCCTGGCTTACATTCAGGGCGGGATGTAAATGTAGGGTGTTTTTTACTCACTTTTTGTCTCTCCCATGACGTTATTCCTCTCTCCTACAGCTTCCATCACAATTACATGCACATGGCCAATTATGCAAATTAGGTGATGACATCATTTAGCAACTTCTGGCAACTTTTAGGACAGCCAATAGCTGCTTTACTTACTGAGGAGTTGCCAACACTGCCTGTCAGGCACTGACTTCCTGCAGTTCTGTTAACGCCGAGGGAAGGTGTTTGGTAGGCTGGAGTGAAGGACACTGTAATCCGGTACACCTCAGACGGGAGGCGGGATAGGTAGCTAGCTAGCTAAGGACACTGGTAGACAGTGCCGCAATCACACAATATTGGAGAGTTTTGCGTCTGCATATCACACGTGTACATGGAATTAAATATAAATTATGAATCCCATTTCGTTGTGAAATAAAAATAAACAAATTAAAAGAATATGTTTTATTCCATTGATCTCCGAAAGGCACAGACAACAACTGAAAACATTTTAAGAAGTGGCAAACTTCTACTGTCTAACAGAGTGAATACATATTGAGAGCATAAACAACACAGTGTATTTTCACAATAGGTGATGGCAATTTATAGATAATATTGGGAATAATTGGGAATTATGGAGGAATATTGTTCAATGCATTTGGTTCAATTTATTTATCATTGTACCAGACATTCTGTTCACTTGGATATCAAGTGCATAGGAAATATGTGTGTTTTTGTCTTTATTTCATAGCAATAACAAGAGTTCTACTAAATCAATCTGTGAAATGTCTTTATACCAAAACAATATGCCACCTCACACATGTTCACCCTGAATATTGATTTATTCACATAGACAAAATGTAAATATTTTACAACAAAAAAAGATTCCATTAATATCCACATTTGTCATGCGGTAATCCTGCATTTCATAAATAACACTGACATCACTGGCCGTGTGAAGAGGTGCACTTGATTTGGCTCGTCTGGCGGGCAAGGTAGGCAGAGTTAACGCACTAGACTAGAGCTAATGGGGAATGGTACAAAAAGGGAAAAGTCAGACTACCCATGTCAGGGTCAAGGGTGAAAGGTTATGGCTGCTCCTGGGAGACACAGCGGAACCCTAGGTTAGAGGCAGAGCTGTCAGGGGTGTTCTGACTCCGTGCTGCACACCTGTACCTGTAACAGTATGACTGGAGTGATAGAGAGGAGGAGAGAGAAACAGAAAATCATACGTCAATGTACATTAGATTGATTGCATCCAAGACACTAAGAATATATATTTTTAAAGCACTCGTTTCCTTCATAAATTCATCACTGATCCAACAACTGGATAGTTGGAAAGTAGGGTTTCCTTTAGCATTCACCAGTCCAGAGTTATGGCAAATCAGTGATTACTCCATAGAATGTAGGATGGGAAGGATGTATTTTGAAGTATTTAAACAGGGCCAACGTGTGTTTTACAATCACAAAGACCGTTAGATTGAAGTCCTTTCCTCCTGCACATGACAAACCCAGCTTTGTGCTTGGGACTAGTTTTGCATGCTGTCAATCACATCACCAAGGCAACTAGTGTCGGTGGGCAGAGTGGTTGGGTCACAAGTTGCTTCTCCGAGGAGGCAAGGCTAATAGCTCAGTATACTGTGGAAGACAGTGCATACATTATTATATATATTTTTTCATACTGGCCCCCCGTGGGAATCGAACCCACAACCCTGGCGTTGCAAACGCCATGCTCTACCAACTGAGCTACATCCCTGCCGGCCATTCCCTCCCCTACCCTGGACTACCCTGTGCGCCGCCCCATGGGTCTCCCAGTCACGGCCGGCTACGACAGAGCCTGGATTCGAACCAGGATCTCTAGTGGCACAGCTAGCACTGCGATGCAGTGCCTTAGATCACTGCGCCACTCGGGAGGTAAACTAATGGACAACAACACTTAGGCTTCTACTTCCGGCTTACACAAACTGTATACATTTTACAGACACAGTATATTTTACAATAGTTATCTTTTGTTTGTTTTTAGTCCCACCCTTCAGCTACCCTCAACCCCTCCCATCTATCTCTGAAGACCATCCAGTTTTGATTTCTATTTGCCATATATTTTTCAACTGTGCTATGATGTTTCACAAAATTTCTGAACCTTTCTTTTCTCATAGTTTCTACAGATTGTAAATTAAAGATAAACATTTTTGCTACGAGTATTATTATATTATTGATCGATTGACTACGACTTTTTAAAATCACCCAGCAGTGCTATTTGCAGAGTTAGCTCAAGGTAAATGTTGCAATTCTTCAACCATTCCTGAACCTGCGACCAAAACAAGCTACATATGGAAAGTACCAAAACAATGATTCTGTCTCTTTGCTGCACAATCTACAGAGCTGGGATGGTTGTATCCCTCTGTACTTGACTGCACTAGGCTAAAGCAGTGGTTCCCAAACTGTGGGAGGCATGAGGGGTCGGCAAGGGAGGCACGCCCCACAACATGGTAGGGAACCACTGCCCCCCACAGGCACGCCCCACTGCTTTTTTCAGAGACCGGCTAGTCTCTGGTGTGTGTTTGACTTCTATAGGTGCAATTTTGAAATTGGTTAGTACATCAGTTTTCCTCTTGTCATGTCAGTCATTGCATACCTCAGAGAGCTATTTATAACTTGTCAGAAATGTACAGATCAACTAGCCCATGTCAGCTAATGTTTTTTAGTTAGGTTTTTTAGCCCATTGATTTTGTTATAATGTTTGAGTCACTCAAATATCACATGAATACACATTAGACATGGCAAAATGTATAGAATTGCAAGAAAATGAGCTTTAAACCAGCTAAATGTTCTCTCCACCAACAAAAGTGGTGTGAACAGTTTGTGTCATTAACAGTGCTTGTGCCCATAAAAATAGTCATTGCGCACAGGTTACCTTATGGCACATGTAGGAGCCTCCTTTCTTCACTCGGTCTGTGCCTGATGGTGGACCTACCTGCAAAAGGGAGGGGAGAAAATATCAAAACATCAAGAGGAAATCCTCACAGATGTGATATAAAAGTGTGTGTGTGTATTACCGGGTTGTGCCGTTCGTCCGTGGTGTGGTGTACAGTCCACCAGTCAGATGTCCACTCCCATGCATTCCCCACCATGTTGTACAGGCCATAGCCATTTGCAGGAAATGACTTCACCTGCAGGAGACATAGAAAGATATGAGATAGATACTTTCACATTCTACACCAATAAGGAGTCCCACATTATTGAAATAGCATTGCAACTGTTGCATGGGTATGGGAAACATATTAAAAAGAGCTATAGACTGATAATTAAACATCACATTTTAACATTTTAGAATAAAACACTTCCCCATAAAACAATTTGTATGTGTAAAAACAGTGCACATACAGAATATATACGTAATAGAAAGCGTAACCCTGAAAGACCTGTAAAATATAAATCTCAGCAACCATTGAAGTGAGACGGTATCATTTCACTATTACTATGCAATTCATTAATGTTATCTCAATGTTATTCATGTGATCTAGAGCAGCTGTGAGCTGCTGGTGGTGTGAGTTTCTCTGTAATCTCCAACGACACACAATTCCTGTTCGTAAGCAGTGGCTGAATCAGATATCAACTTCCTGTTTCATCACAATGGACTGTGGGTAAGGGCCACCCTGCCACCCTAACATGGGAGTGAACTGACTCCCCTGAGCCCTTTGTTTTCACAGTCTTTTAGTCAAGTCAGACCAATTGTATATACTGTATTTCAGTCTCATTCTTTCACATTCTCTGTCTTGCTCTCTCAGTAACTGTCTCTCCCCCTCTCTTACTGGTGCGGTTTTGGTGTACCCGTCCTCTTCTGAGTTGTGTGTGGGGAACTCTCCCTGCCAGAGGTTGGCGTAGTGCTGTCCATTAGGTTTCAGTTTGTTCCCCCACGGGTATAGTCTGAAATACAGAAACATCGGATCAGGGTAGTGGATAAAGATAGGCATACTAGAACTGTGCAAAGATTAAAGGTGTACTGTAGGAATAGTGGCATATAACATATTATAATCTTTGTAGTTTGAGCCTGAATCTGAATACAGATTGGCTGAAAGACGTGGTATATCAGACCGTATACCACAGGTATGACAACAAATATATTTTATTGTTTTAATTACGATAGTAACCAGTTTATAATAGCAATAAGGTACATCAGGGTTTTGTGGTATATGGCTAATATACCATGGCTCATGGCTGTATCCAGGCACTCCGCATTGCGCTGTGAGTAAGAACAGCCCTTAGCCGTGGTATATTGGCCATATACCACATCCCCTCGGTCCTTATTACTTAAATATACTCTATCTATATTTATATATATTATATTAGTAGTGGGGTTGTTCCCTCACACACACACACACACACACACACACACACACACACACACACACACACACACACACACACACAACACTACCTGTCCTGTAGGCCCCCTCTGCAGGCGTACTCCCACTCAGCCTCTGTGGGTAGTCTCTTGTGGGCCCAGGAGCAGTAGGCCACAGCGTCCCGCCATGACACATGTAGCACAGGGTGGTCCAGCCTGCTAACACAACCAGGTTTATGGTTAATAATAACAACATCATAATACATGGTCATTTAGTAGTATGGCAACACATACTGTATATTTTGTACATTTGGCTCAAGCAGGAACCAAACACACAACTCCAACCTGAGCCATAAGAACCATCAGTTTATCAACAGACCTCTACCCGTCTGTGACATACAGAGATGTGACTGGTGGACACTGGATATCATTAGAATGAGCCAGTATAGCGATGTAACTCCTACCTGTCTGTGATGCTGGAGATAGGGCTTGATATTGGATTCTATTAATTCTGATTAGGATGATCCAGTGTAGAGCTCTGCTTCCTACCTGCCTGTGATGCTGGAGTCTGGGCCCTCAGGGTGATTCCAGTCTGCTCCTCTGACTGGCAACCACCAGGGGGCAGCAGCCACCTGACAACCAGGAAGTAACAACAGCTATGTGACACAGGTAGACAAAACACAACTCAGCAGGAACTAATATCATGGTGGTCAGGCCGAGTGTGCACTGGCGCACACCCACGTACACACAAACAAAAACGCACACACACACAGTCTACTACTTGAATGTAAAGGGGCAATAGTGCTACATTCCTAAGCAAACAGTGTTTACACACTATTTTGCCACCTCTATTGGAATGTCATCAGATGACAGAATGAGAAACCACAACATTGCCTCTCCATGGGCCGTAGCCTAACTTTAGACACATGCGCATTGATGCAAAAATGTGAGTAATGCACATGGAACTCAAGTTAGAGCCCTGTGTGTGCAGGACTGAAACATCTATGAAAACAAGAAGTAGGCTATCCTAGACTGGACGCCCCTGTTTTCTTTAGCCAACTCCTGTATCACTTATGTCTAGAAAGGGGCATTGTTGAATGCAGAAACAGTCACGCTAGCACCTAGGTTATATGTAAACAACACAAAGAAGTTTACAATAGAACACTGAATGCAGCCGTTACTTCATTTCATCAGCATGATGGATGCACAATACATATCCCTTGCCTTGGGATAGTTAAATGTATCTTCCTTATCTTTTTTGCTCTGAAGTGTACTTACTGCCTGGGAGATCTGGCTTTTGACCTCCTCACTCAACACCCCCTCGAACACAAACGAGTCTCCAAACCTCTCTGCCTGTAGGAACACACAGTGGGGCGGGAGAAGTGACAGCATCTTAGAACAATAATCAGAGAAGAAAGGGAGCTATCACTTCTATAGAGTGACATCTGTCAGTCTGTCAGCATGGCTGTCTCAGAGTGAACCACAATTCCACATGTGTAACGCAATGTGTTTTCATGTTTGCAATTCATTTGTAATACTGCTGACACTACTTCAGTCTTTGACCAGGTCTCCCTTGAGAAAAGGAGACACTTGATCTCAATAAGACTAATCTCAATAAATAAGTCAGTTACATTTGAAAAAACCTACCTCAGTGATGTAGCCCGTGGCATTGATGAAGCTCTGGAAGTGGCGGTTGCTGACCTCATGAGCGTCCATGTAGAAAGGGTCCAGGTGCACCCTCCTCTGGGGACCCTCCCCGTCCGGGGGGATGCCAGGGTCGTCTGTACCCATCAGGAACTCCCCTCCAGGGATCAGGACCATCTACAGACAACAGACACACAACAGGACCATCAGACAACAGACACACACTACGAACATCTACAGACAACAGACACACACTACGAACATCTACAGACAACAGACACACACTACGAACATCTACAGACAATAGACACACATCAGGACCATCTACTGACAACAGAACTTGTTCTAGAACCATATGATAGACGCCAGAACCATGTACAGACACCATCTACACAGACACACACATACTTAGAACAGGGATGGGCAACTTTGACGGGGGTGGGGCCACAAAAAATCTAAACTCATAATGAGGGGCCGCAGTTGCTCGCGGGTCTGCGTACCCACATCCATCTCCCCCTGCCCCCCCCCCCCCCCCCCCCCCACACATTGCGAGCAAAACATTTTAGTGGCCCCAGTCTTGACAGCAGAGATGATTTTGGGGGGGTTTTAGAGTTAATTTCATGCAATTCTACTCATTTTTGCCATGGGGCTGAGAGTTAAAATGAGCTGTTTTACAGCTACTTTCCTGCAATTCTACACATTTTGCCATAGGGTGGAGAGAAATGTTTGCAGTATTTAATTTGATATCAGAGTGAAACTGACTAACAAAATCAATGATGGCCCCCCCAACCAGTAATTCTACCATGATAACAAGTTTAGATAGTTTGCCGCTAAACTAACTTAGCAATCTAAAAATGTTTAGCTGACATGGGCTACTTGACTGACTATAATTACATTTACATTTTAGTCATTTAGCAGACGCTCTTATCCAGAGCGACTTACAGTTAGTGAATACATCTTTTTTTTTATACTGGCCCCACGTGGGAATCGAACCCACAACCCTGGCGTTGCAAACGCCATGCTCTATCAACTGAGCTACATCCCTGCCGGCCATTCCCTCCCCTACCCTGGACGACGCTGGGCCAATTGTGCGCCGCCCATGAGTCTCCCGGTCGGCTGCGACAGAGCCTGGATTCGAACCAGGATCTCTAGTGGCACAGTTAGCACTGCGATGCAGTGCCTTAGATCACTGCGTCAGAGTACATATAATATGCCATTTAGCAGACGCTTTTATCCAAAGCGACTTACAGTCATGTGTGCATAAATTTTTACGTATGGGTGGTCCCGGGGATCGAACCCACTACCCTGGCGTTACAAGCGCCATGCTCTTCCAATTGAGCAACAGAGGACCACATTGAGCTACAGAGGACCACTACAGTCACTGACATAACAAGAGAAAAACTGCTGATGCACAACCAAATTTCGAAATTGCACCTTTTGTATTCTAGTATTCTAACTCGCAAAAGTATGTTGAGACCCAGACTGAGTTCCAAAAATATATATAAAACAATTGGGGGCCACCAGTTGCCCATCCCTGACTTAGAACCATCAACAGACAATAAGACACATAGGGCCTATCAAATGGTAGTATCGCGAGGTCATCTTCCCAAATCTCGTCTCGTGAGAAGTTGGCTTGTGCACAACAACAATAGAGTGGCCAGTTTGAAGTCCTAAAACCTGGAAATTAGTTATCTTTGGATCGTTCAGCCATGGTTTCCACAAGTTACCACAACCACAAAGTCAAAATTGGCTATATCGTAAAAATGTATGAAAACTAACATTTTCATTTAAGGTTAGGCATAAGGTTAGCAGTGTGGTTAAGGTTAGGGTTAAGATCACATTTTAACAATTTAAATAGTAGAAATAGGCGGGGTTTATGACTTTGTGGCTATGGTAACTAGTGACGATATTTAGCCATCCATATGGGGGAAATGAATGGAGGAGAATAGGGTTTTGGGATAAGCTAAAAAAAAAAAAAAAGGTTAACACAGGCTTAAGAGATCTTATACTTTTTGTTCTATGAGATAATATCAGTCAGTTAACATGACCTTTATGAATTATGAAGCTTTTATGTGCTTTTGTTTATTACATAAATGTTTCAAAATTCACAAAGTGACGTTAGCTGTTGAAGATTCTTATAGAACAAAACGTGTAAGATCTCCTAAGCCTGTGTTTACTACAGACCTTATTTTCGGCGTTTATCCAAAAACCCTACAAAAACGCCATTCATTTCCTCATAGGTTTGTCCAACAAACCATGATGGAGTTAGTGCCTACAAAAATACTTTACTATTTAACTCTATAACGGTGTGAACGCTTGATAGAATACCTGACTACGAGTATCTGATTCTTCCCCATTCGTCTGAGTGTCTGTATGCTTCTCATTTGACTTTTTCGAGTATTTGACAGCAGGGTTTTCTGTTATTATGGAACTTTCCTTCTCGATATCCACAACTGCATCTCTCTTCAGGTTGTGGCAGCCACAGCTCGAGCTCTCTGCCGCCAGTGGAACGATTGTCTCAGGTTCTGCGCAGACGGAGAGTTCTGGCTTGCTTTGAACACACAGCACATAATCTTTGACATTCAGGGAAAATAAGAAAACCGCACAATAAAGCAACATCGTTGCACCATTCAGTTCAAGACCACTTGTTTGTGGACAGAGCCATGCTTCCGCATTATCAGTCACGTGGTCAGTCAGCTGATAATTGTAAGCGTGCAACTCTATACCATAAAAATGTAGCCTATCATTTCAGCATACTCATAATTTACAATCTGTGTCAAATAAAGTTTGTGTGTAGTTTTGATTGAACATTTAATTGCACTTCCTCCAGCAGTGTCTAAAGTTTGGAGAAGTTTATTTAAATACCACGCAATGCTCACCACACCATGGGAGTTGTAGTCATAAATATGTTTTCGGTTTTGTTACTTATCCGAAGGAACAATTCAAGAAACATCATTTCCCAGAGACTAGTGCTAGTATAACATTTTCTGAGGGGCTACAGACCTTCGAGCGGGGACTAGCGCTCATGTAGCGAACTAACGGAAGGCAGGGTGATTGGATTGAGCTGTCAAAAAATTCGGAATCTACTCGCCGACTGAATCTTGGTGCTATGGATTAGTTGAAAGCGGTGTATCGCTGCCATGCTCTCCCGTTGACCCAGCCTCGCGCGTCGCTCCCAACCTCTTACCACAGCGAAGGTAAAGTTTACCACAACTCTGTATGTACAGTTTGGGGGAGCATCCCCGCCTCTTAAATATGTATTGCTTGTGGCTAGGGAAGAAGCGCAACAATGTATCTGCCCTCCTCATGAACCGCCCGTCATGATTTTGTGCACTGACGCTGATTAAACAAAAATAATTCCCGAGCTGAGAAACACGGTTTTGCCAGTCTGATATGAAATATAATATAATTGAACAATTGAAGCAAGCACGCAAGTGGTCAAACTGTAGGCTACTCGTCTCAGGGATGTGCTGAAGCTCAGTAAAGTTGAAGCGATTTTTATAAACTATCCCGTTTTAGAAGAAGACTGAGATAAATATCGATTTGTGCTGTCAGTTTGCCCAGTGACTTGGGCATCATGTTGATTAACATAACAGTAACATTATATCTATGTCGTGCGTTAGTGTTGTCTACTAAATGTTAGGCTATGTGGTTTTGAGGTAATATGATGGGGTGAATTGTTCTCCATGTTTTTTTCTTTCAGTATGTTTCTAAGATGACTGGTCTGAAACTAGGCCTTGAGGTCAGCCTCATTATACTCACTCCTGGGTGATGTTGCAGTGTAGGCAAATAATACGTCTGTGTGTAGGCTACTAGAGTCGCACAGTAGGAGCTCTGTAGACTGAAATGTCACAAATGTGAGTCAGGACTCAGTAGGTACAGTATGTTCCAGGAGTTTTTCTCTACCTGCCACATGAACAGGTAAAACTCTAGGCCCCAACGACAGCCTACAATTAGTGTCTGGAGTTGTTCCTGGACAGGTCAAGTGGTCAGTAGCCTCAGTTTCCAGGCTTCCTCACTGTTCGTGATGTACGAGGCATGGTAAGGACTGGCCCTTAAGGGTCTAAACACAGCACAAAACACTGCTTTACTCACTGGGCACTGTAACACCTGCAGTACAATAACCATGCACTACTAGAGTCTAGACCACGTGTCATCCCAAGATGTCATACATTGTATTCTAACCACTGACCAGATTTGGGGTAGCTTCCTTTACAGTTCAGTCCAAGTATAATAGAAAGTAATGGGCTGTTTTACATTTACATTTGACATTTTAGTCATTTAGCAGATGCTCTTATCCAGAGCAACTTAGTTAGTGAATGCATACATGTTTCATACTTGCAATTCCTCACTTACTTCCCTGAATTGACTGAATTGAAAGGGGATTGAATCCAACCCTGAATGTAATCCAGCCTGGGTCAGTGTTAAAATAAAACACAGTGACACCTTTAAACCTGTTGAACTGACGGGTCTGTCACTCCCTCCACCCTATATCCCAGAGCAGGTCTACTAACCACAGGTGCATGGCCTTCCTGTTTCTCTCTGCCTCTCCTAATGATTAACTGTTTACCCCTCACCCACACAGACAGACCAGGCTGGAGCATCAGATAGTGCCTGGCCCCATGCAAATCCTCCTGCTATTTCTCCCCAGCTAACAACAAACGTTCCCAAAACATTAGAGAACGTTCCCTTAAGAGTCTCATTAGGTAATTAACTAATGTGTGGTAGGAGAATATTCCATCAATGTCCCACAAAACATATACAGAACATGGTTGCCATGTTCTCAGAACATAAGATATCAATGTTCTTGACACATTTCATGGTAACGTTGAAGAACATGCATGTGTCCAGTTTTCTGTCGGTTAGGAGAATATTCCATCAACGTCAAACTAAACATACACAGAACATGGTTGCCATGATCTCAGAATATAAGATATTAATGTTCTAGACACGTTTCATGGGAACATTGCTGTGTATTAGTTGTCAGGACGTCGCCTGATGGTCCCAAAGAATCATTCTCCCCCACCCCCCAAAACAACGTTCATTACACATTGTTACGGTTGCCGAGCCAATCAAGGCCCTGATTGGTGAACCACTTATCCATTCATAGCTCTTTGTCTTTTGGCAAGGTTAGGGATACCCACACACACAGTGCTTTTAACTTACATAGATTTATTGCACCCATTACTGAAATGTTTCCAACTGTTGGATGTCCTAACTCTGTCTGGATTCCAATAGGAATTATACATCACTTTGCAAGCCTGCATAACATTATGCAGGCCTGTAAATCAGGAGGTTCCTAACACCAGTGTGTTAAGGTAAACCTTGGCCATCAAAGTAAGGCCTTATGATATATTTAATGTATTGTCCTAAATAGTATTAATAATACATTTCATCTCCAGTAAGAACTCACTTGGTGAAGTCCACAGGACTGCAACAACTTCTTCTTCTGGTTTTATGGCAGACTACAACCCAAAAAGGTGTATTGCCACCACCAACTGGACGGGGTTGAAAAAAAAAAAGGGAAAACTAACCCAGATGAAAATATTACATTGACAAAAACAAAACTCCCACTTCTTCCTTCCTTCAAATCTCCATATTTCCCTTCTCAGGCTCTAGGGCCTGAGAGGGTGGTATGGCTTGTGACAATACTCCATGCAATCCCTCCGCCGATACGTTTTTCAGTCCCAGGAACCGCTCCGCCGCATCCATACTGATATCTATTTTCCTGGACTTCCTCTCCACCTGGGCAGTGCCATTAATCCCCATAGCTATAAAGGCCACAATGTCCACCTTCTTAACCTTTAAAATATCTGGGCCCTACTGGTAAAAGGCAACCCCTGCAGCGAAAACCTATCCACCGCCATGGACTCTTTGGGAGCACCATTTCGACCCGCAACCCTTTTAACAGCTGCTGCATAATAACTGCTCTGGACAGTCCTTACTTTGGCAGGACTGAAAATGAATAAGTTCAACAACCATATCTCTATCACTAACAAATACAGTCATGGGTGGTAACTCTGCAATTCACTCAAAAAGGCAAGGCACACTTGGAAATTATATTGGAGGCGTGGCTTATTGGGGGCGTCGCTTCAAAGTTGTTGTTATGGACACCTGTGAGTGGAAGTGTTGTACCAATTTAAATGGTTTATGGTTATGATAGTTGAAGTTTGAGCATGTCTTCTGCAAGCCCTGAAGTCTTTGTAAATAATATAATATGCAATTTAGCAAACGCTTTTATCCAAAGCGACTTACAGTCATGTGTGCATACATTTTTATGTATGGGTGGTCCCGGGGATCGAACCCACTACCCTGGCTTTACAAGCGCCATGCTCTACCAATTGAGCTACAGAGGACCACTATTACGTAAGAGCATTTGGAAGTAAAGACTTGGACATATTATTGCAGTATCCTTAATTCAATATGAATGACCTTGTCAAGTGATGCAAACCTCTTTATATAAAAAAATAAATACTATATGAGGTGTTATTGCATAACACTAAAAGTGTTAATTCCCTATCAATGCAAAGTGTAACAGCGTCAGCAATAGGCACAGTGTTGATTTAACACTGAAAGGTGTGGACCCGTATAGACACTGGCCCAGTGTTAAATTTAACACTGTCATAAACCAGGTTTCCATCCAACCTTTTTATGCAAGTAAAGTACAGTGGGGAAAAAAGTATTTAGTCAGCCACCAATTGTGCAAGTTCTCCCACTTAAAAAGATGAGAGGCCTGTAATTTTCATCATAGGTACACGTCAACTATGACAGACAAAATGAGAAAAAAATATCCAGAAAATCACATTGTAGGATTTTTAATGAATTTATTTGCAAATTATGGTGGAAAATAAGTATTTGGTCAATAACAAAAGTTTCTCAATACTTTGTTATATACCCTTTGTTGGCAATGACACAGGTCAAACGTTTTCTGTAAGTCTTCACAAGGTTTTCACACACTGTTGCTGGTATTTTGGCCCATTCCTCCATGCAGATCTCCTCTAGAGCAGTGATGTTTTGGGGCTGTTGCTGGGCAACACAGACTTTCAACTCCCTCCAAAGATTTTCTATGGGGTTGAGATCTGGAGACTGGCTAGGCCACTCCAGAACCTTGAAATGCTTCTTACGAAGCCACTCCTTCTTTGTCCGGGCGGTGTGTTTGGGATCATTGTCATGCTGAAAGACCCAGCCACGTTTCATCTTCAATGCCCTTGCTGATGGAAGGAGGTTTTCACTCAAAATCTCACGATACATGGCCCCATTCATTCTTTCCTTTTCACGGATCAGTCGTCCTGGTCCCTTTGCAGAAAAACAGCCCCAAAGCATGATGTTTCAACCCCCATGCTTCACAGTAGGTATGGTGTTCTTTGGATGCAACTCAGCATTCTTTGTCCTCCAAACACGACGAGTTGAGTTTTTACCAAAAAGTTCTATTTTGGTTTCATCTGACCATATGACATTCTCCCAATCCTCTTCTGGATCATCCAAATGCACTCTAGCAAACTTCAGACGGGCCTGGACATGTACTGGCTTAAGCAGGGGGACACGTCTTGCACTGCAGGATTTGAGTCCCTGGCGGCATAGTGTGTTACTGATGGTAGGCTTTGTTACTTTGGTCCCAGCTCTTTGCAGGTCATTCACTAGGTCCCCCTGTGTGGTTCTGGGATTTTTGCTCACCGTTCTTCTG